TAAATAGTTGTCAAAAGCACTAGAGCTTTTCTAGGCATTTGTTGGAGCACTTCAGCGTTAATCAAGTCATGTCCAGGAGCTTTTCTTTTAGGCAACTTTTTGATTTGTTCAGCAATCTGTGAAGGTGTGAATGAAATAGGAGGTGAAGTTAGTTGTAAGGGCATGTCTAAAGTGTTTAGTACATTGTTATCGTGCACAGTGTTAGTGAAGTCTGTGTGTGGTACAAAAACAGAAGAAAGATATTCGGCAAAGAGTTCTGATTTTTCTCCGTCCGTCACGGCCCAGGAATCATCTTGTCTTCGAAGGGGTGCTGACACTTCACGATGCTTAATAAGGTTTTTAGTATGTCTCCACAAGCTTCCATCGTCGGTTGAGAGATTTCTGATGTAGTTGTCATAGGTTGTTCGTTTGAATTTTCCAATCTGTCGCTTGAGTTCATTATTAAGTCTGTTGTAAGTTCGTTTATCTGATGGGAGTCTGTCAGTCTGCCATATTTTGCGAGCTCTCCTCTTCGCTCTGATCAAGTCCCTTATGTATTGTGGGTACATTGGTAGGAACTCATATTTTTGAGGTTTTGGTACTGATGAAGACCATGCTGCTTCTTGGATATTTCGTGTGAAGTATTCAACGGCATCCTCAAGTTCTTCTTCGTTTTTAATGGATAGAGGAACAGAGAGAGCAGTGTCCAAATGGTTCTTGTACCTGTCCCAATCCATTATGCCATTGATCAGGGACAGTTTTTTTGTAGCTTCACAAGGCTCTTCAAACAATACCAAATGCAAAAGGGAATGATCAGAGCAAAGATCTGAACTCGTTGTTATAGTGTGAGGTGTTGTTCGGAGTCCTTTAGTTATGAAAAAATCGAGTAAGTCTGGTGTTTTCCGTCTAGAAGTTGGCCAGTACGTGGGTGAATTAGGTGATATTGTGTCTAATGAAAGCTCATAAAGAACATACCTAAGATTCCTTCCTCTTGGAGTAGATAGTCTGGATCCCCAGAACTGATCTTTGGCGTTGTAGTCGCCTCCTGCAACAAAGCATCTACCAAGACATTTAAAGAAATTACTAAACATCATGGGTGTCAGAACATACCTCGGAGGGCAATAAACCGCAGCAAGAGTAATATTTTGTTGTTGTGTTGATAGTGTAATGGCTGTAGCTTGAATCTCTGGTGTTATGGGTAATTGTAAAGGATTATGTTTTAGAGTTGTTTTGATAATTATGGCAGTGCCTCCATGTGAAGTTCCATCTGGGTGGTCAGTTCTGTAGATTTTGTAACCACGGATGTAAAATTTAGAATGTGGTGTCAGATGTGTTTCTGTTATTAGTGCAATGTCAATGCGTTTCTCGTGTAAGTATATGTCTAGTTCGGTTCTATGTTGATTCAGTCCGTTTGCGTTCCATAGTATAATAGACATGGAGCCCACAGTCGTCTGATTACGGGGCATATTTTTGGGTAAGAGCGAGAGTAGCCTGAGATAGCTGTTGTAGAAGACTGAAGAGGGGCTGTATGAGGTTATTGAGACCGCTAATCAAATGTATGATATCACCTGAGGAGGTTTCAATAGTAGGGAGCGTTTGGGCAATGCCCCTACTCATACCTTTAGGCCTTTGTTCTTGGTTTGTTGCCGGTGCTGGTTTTCGTTGCTGTCTCTGCTGCTGTTGTTCTGGTCCTGAGGGAATCGGATGAGGGTATTGAGGCTGATGCAGTGGTGGGAACTCGTGTAGTTCTGGTGGTGGGGGTTGAACTCTAGGAGGCCTTTGCAGAGTATGGTTTCTTGTGCGGGTCTTCCTAAGCTCTTTCAGAGTTTCGCAACCTCTGTAGTTAGCAGGATGTGGTCCTTGGCAGTTGGCACATTTTGCGACTGTTTCTCGAGTCTTTGTACAGGAAGTGCTTTCGTGACCCATACCACACCTTACACACCTCGGCTGGTGGTTGCAGTACGTCTTGGTATGGCCATAATGCTGACAACGTACGCACTGCGGAATGATCCTTTTTTTCCTTGGCTCTTCGATCTTCACGTGTGTGTAATACAGGAATTCAATGTCGAAAATTTTATCATTGAACGTTGCTTTGGACACATCAACGAAAAACATTGGCAACGGTGTTTTGAATCTTGATATAACATTTACGATGTTGGTTGCCTCGTAACCATAGTTGGCTAGTTCCTGTTTTATGATCGCTGGAGGTGTGGCGTGGTGTAAATTTTTAATAACTATTCGAGGCATTTTATCTTCCGGGAGTTGATATGTGTGAAAATCAGCTCCTCCCCTTCTAAGACTGGTCACTAACCTACGGTATATTTCTGCGTTTTCAGGATACACGCTGACTCCTCTCATAGACGTTTTCAACCTGAAACTGTTAGGGCCACCTTCATTGTGAAGATAGGTTACTAATGCCGTGTAGTCTTTCACATCGTTTATATGAATAGGTGGAGGTCTAATAATAATGGGATTATTATTTGCTGGCTGTCTATCTTCCGGAGTATTTGATAAAACTTCGAATCGATTGTTAGTAATAATAGTATCACTAACCTTTATTTGTTTGTGACGTGGATCTCTGTCTGAAGCTACATGTCGTTTTCGTCCAGACACAACTTCCCAGGACATAGCTTCTGGTGCATTATCGTGGTTGACTTCATTTGGTGAATCGTTTGAAGCCGAAGTTTCCGTCATTTTTAGCGGAAGAATCCGCTGCACCAGTAATTTTACTTCAATTGATTGCACTTATTTAACTCACGAATATGGAAGAGATAAAGGAAATCAACATGCAGTTAATTGACTTAAACTTGTGATAATTCAATAGAATTTGGAGAGAGAAATAAATTACGTTTGTAACCTTCAATCAATCACCTGTTTCTCCCGGAATAAATAATAATTTCTGAAGATTAACATTATTTAATATAAACCACATGTTTCCTAGGAAATTAAATGAAATTTTCTTACTAACTGTGAACTTTTAATATTTTTGAAAAAGAGTATTTAAAAACCACCGAGCCAAGGCAATGCTATTGTTTAAAATAATATTTCATTGTACTTGTGTGAAAGAAAAAGTAAAATAATTTGGTATCTTTAATCCTTTTATTTCGAAAAATCATCATGTAAACGTTTAGAAAATTATAATTATAAAAATTATAAACCACATGTTTCCTATGAAATTAAATGAAATTTTCTTACTAACTGTGAACTTTTAATATTTTTGAAAAAAAGGTATTTAAAATCCACCGAGCCAAGGCAATGCTATTGTTTAAAATAATATTTCATTTACTTGTGTGAAAGAAAAAGTAAAATATAAAAATATTTTATGGATATGCTTAAATACATTTACTATAGTTTACTAACTATATATCTGATATTATATTTAAATAATTAGGTATCTTTAATCCTTTTATTTCGAAAAATCATCATGTAAACGTTTAGAAAATTAAATTAGTGAATAATTTGATGAATTTTCCCTTTGTGATTTCATAACATTATCCACTTACAATTAGTTAGTTTGACAACTTTTGACCTATCTATGACAGACAATGCAAATCTCATAATTCCATTTTTGTAGACTTTGCAATGAAAATTAACAGTTTAATAATTAATAGTTGTACAATCTATAATCAACCATTGATATAATAAATAGCATTTATGTTATTCTAATGGTATTAATGATTTGTTAGCTGTAAGCTTTAAACTTTAGCTCGATTAAAAATGCACTTCAAAAATTTTATAATAGCCCAACATTGCCAGAAATAATTTCTATTCAAAGTAGGAAGTGAAAGTTGTGTGTTACGGGCACCAGATTTTTTGTTGACGGATTTTCCTCTTACATTACCTCTTGCAAAATCAGCTCTACCGATAGTTATTCCTCATCTCATTCTTTATTCTACTTTAATATTTGATGCTATATTATTCCGTTCTTTCCTAATAAATATTTCTTAACGAAGGATATTAATATGATATGATTCCACTGCTTCTTTTTATCAGCACACGAAAACTTTGTTGTGTGAATAATTATTTTTACTGACTATGTGAGGGAATCCATTCTTAATAAAGATGAGGTGACCTATTTTCCTTAGTTATTAAATTTTTGTTACCTTAAAAGCGTTGCATGTTACTAAAATGCAACGACAGAGACATATCAGGATTCCTTCTCTAAATCATGGAGCTTAGTACAAAATTCTATGTATTCTGTAAGAAAATATAAGATACAGTTGGCCTATAATTTCTTTATCAAGTACTTTTTGAGTAGATACCCCCTGGTATCCGATAATTTCAATAGTCTCCTATTATCTAGTCTCCTCATAGATACGTGTATTTTATTATCCAAAGTATAAAAAGAACTATGCATAATGAGTATAGAAGATAATTATCCATTATTACTAATTGGTTTCAGTAAAATTATGGGAAACATTAAAAGCAACAACATAAGTAAATACAATAACATTGGGGATAGTAATAATCCATATTTTTATGGTTACTAATCTCTTAAAGTACAAAATAATTATTAATTTTTTGAAAATTGTATGAAATATAGATTGAACGTATTAGCACAAACATATTATGAAATTAAATGTATATTGATACGATTGCAGAAAGATTTAAGCTTGGATAAAATTTTACTATTTTAATAGCTTATTACATCTGGGAGTAATAAAGTATGACATTTTTAAAAGTATATATATTTATTTTAAATTTCCTATAAAGAAAAAAAAAGTTCAACAAACCTAACAACCGAAAATGAAACTATGGGATGTAGTGGTATAAAATAAAAAATCAAACATTCTTAGCGCACTTTCTTCGTATAACCTTTTCTTATAATACTAATCAGAGTATAAAATATTACCAAAATCTAGGAAGTGAAAGTAAAATTTTCATAAGCAATGGGGGTAACTACATTAGAAAGAGTCTATTGCCACTAACACTTCCTAAGATACCAAGGTCTTTGAAATGTATAAAGGCTCAGCGGATAAGAGTAATTTTCACAGTCGCCCAGATACAGCGAAGTTAGCAACATGAAGACCTTAGTTGTGAGTTCAGAACCTGTGCATGCCATTTTAGTGCAATAAACTAATCTTTATCCCACATTATTAAATAACTTTATCTATATCAAAACGGTAATTACGTTGTTGAAGGTTTGTTTTCTCGCCCTTGGATTAGCTAGTGCTTCAGAACAGAGGATCAAGCGAAGTTGGTCTCATGGAGCTGTCGTCCCAGGAGCAGCTACTCATGGAGTTGTAGTACCCGGAGCCGTATCCCATGGAGTTGTGGTACCAGGAGCTGTGTCCCATGGCGCTGTCATCCCAGGAGCTGTATCCCATGGCGTTGTAGTCCCAGGAGCTGTATCTCATGGCGCTGTCGTTCCAGGAGCTGTGTCCCATGGTGCCTCTATCGTTGGTCCCGTGAATGGAGGTGCTGCCCTCGCTGGTCCCGTTAATGGCGGTGCTCACCTGGCCGGACCCGTCAATGGTGGAGCAGCTATAACTGGTCCCGTTAACGGAGGAGCTCACCTTACTGGTCCAGTCAATGGTGGAGCTCATCTTACTGGCCCAGTCAATGGTGGAGCCGCACTTTCAGGTCCAGTCAATGGAGGAGCATACCTCACCGCCCCCGTCAACGGAGGAGCTCACCTCACTGCCCCCGTCAACGGAGGAGCTCACCTCACTGCCCCCGTCAACGGAGCCGCATACCTCACCGCCCCTGCATATGGAGGAGCTCACCTCACCGCCCCTGCATATGGAGGAGCTTACCTCACCGCCCCCACCTATGGAGGAGCCCTCCTAGGAGCCCCAGTGGTGGCCTCCCCGTTATTGGCTGCTCCATCCCTGGCCTATGGCGGCCTCTACGCCGGAAACCATGGTCATTGGGTGCATTAACGCTTACCTCCTTCGATGACTGATATATATACTATGTAAATATATTTGTTATTTATAGCACTACAAAAGTTTTATATCCTTCATCATTGAATTTTTTTTTAAAAACATGTTTTGGATTATCATGATCTTATTTTTAAATTAATTATATGCTATATGCAACGTAATCAGAATGGCATCAACCATTCCACGTTTTACTATATTACTTACGCCGGGAGTCCGATGAATTTAATGTTTAATCACAGAATTTAAAAATTTGTGTCTTCAAATCAATATAAAAATACATTTCTGAGTGTCCTGGAATTCATATTCAATAGCTAATTAATTTGATACCTGGTTTGAAGTAGTTTTATTCTGCCCACTCTAGAATCCTCATAATCCATCATAGTATTAATCAAAAGAATATGCAAATACAAATAAAAATTTATCAACACTCTTGATTTCAAATATTCTTTTATAAATCAAAAAGAACGAAAATACGTTTCCAGCTATCAGATTAACCCTAACAAATGACTAGCCGAAGAGGGATTGATAGCTGCTATTCTTAGCGCTGCGCTTACCAATTATACATTGATAGGTATAGGTTTTCCTTGTAATGCAATAAAAATCGAAACACTATTTTCCAACATATATTTAATTTTTATGAAACAATACTTTGGTGAAGAGCTACCCTTTTCTTTGGTTGGATCAATTACAACTTAATCTTTCAATTCCTAGAATTTGCAGAACAAAATTGATTTTTATAATATTCGTTATTTTATTGATCTAACTCTTTATACGTCTAAATTTCTATTTTATATATATATATATAATAACGTATATTATGAAATTAATTTTTTCTGCTAATTCTGGGAATTGACATATAAAGTTATAATTGATCTTGAACCGTTGTAGATAAACTAGTAAACTAATATTCATTCTTGTAAAAAATGTAATTATTAAAAACTTTCTTCGCTATTACTTGTACAAAAATTAATTGTTGAGCGAAGCAATCAATCAAGAAATAGTCAAATAAGATAAAAAAACATGAGGTCCTCTTTTTTTTCCAAATTAGTGATAGTTGAGGACGGAAACTAAGCGAGGAAGGTAAATAATCAACCATATTACAAATTTTATCAGCTTTAATTTTGTATAGAACGTCTTTGTCGGTGCGAATGGTATTTTGCCTAATATGAGCGAAAACCCGAAAAAAATGACCTTCTAGGCACTCTCCTCCCCACATCTGGCTCACCACCTCGAAGTGGGGACTTTTTGTATGTTTACCTCCTTACCAGTCCAAACAATGTCCCAAAGTCAAAAATTGTTCCCCCGCTATTTACTTCTATGCCCCCTTTTCCAGCATTCATTGACTGGACAAGAAGAAGATAATAGCCTTATCTTTTGTTGTATCTAGAAATATGGTCATTGAAAGCAGTCCTTTTCTCGACGTAGGACTGGATATCCTCTAATGGTCTTTAAACCACATCGATCACATTCTCATTAATGTTCGGCACAAATAAAATCCACCCGAGTAACTGTAACCGAGCCTTTGTAGTGGTTAGTAACTAATATGCTAATATTTTTCCCACCATCAATCAGCTGGTAATGGCTTGAATCAGAGTAAGTCTGGAGTTGCAATATCAGGTTTCAAAATTATAGTGTTCCAGTGCAAGATGAAACTGGAGCTTAGAGAAGTTTTTGAATAAGTATAATCAGAATTTAGTTAAATGGTGTTTAGAAACAATGTATCTGAATGAATACCTCAGTACGCCAGGATCCACGATAGTATGTAAGTGATAAGTGGTATAAAACGGTGTCACGGAGCAGGAAACATGAAAAGAAGAGAAAAACGGTGATGAAGAAAACTAAGATTGAAATATTTGGAAACTTCAAGAAACCCCTGTGAGAGAAAAAGTTTTTTTACTTAAAGGTCGATGACCATATAATTCCCTCAGAGTAAAGTAAAGCAAAAGCAGGTAGGAAGGAAACCAGCTACACGGAAGCCTCAGAGACCTGAGGACCGGAGGACCGGATTCTTAATTTTAGTTTCTGACCTGGCCATATAACGATGAATGCAGAAGATGAAAGAGAGTAATAGATTCCATGAATGGACATGGTGAATTCGACCCTCCAGATTTTGAGGTGATTGGTTCAGTAATTGCAAAACTACGTGAATATTAATCAACGCACTCGCCATCTCGATGACCTCAGAAGTGTAGATGTGTATAAATGTGAAAACTTATATAAAACTTTAGTGGAAATCAATATTCCTGCGAATTTGATTTACCTTCTTATGCTGATTTACGGTGCAACATGAAAGGTCCAAATGCAATCACTGTGTTCCCAAAAGTTCCCATTCGGTAAGCGTTTGAAAAGATGATGGTTGGTAGAGGTAATAAGAGGTGCAAGGATCAAAAGTAGCTTGGTTTAGCTGACGACACTGATAGTAGCAAAGTCTAGATTTGCCTTGGTAGAAGCCACGGCACACTTAATCAGAACATCATAATCTATCATCAATAAACGAAGTTGGGATAATGCTCACTACAAATACATGCACAATGGATCCGTAGGAAATAATTCTTTACTGATAGGACTCTACACTTTATAGCAGGTATATGAGCTTAGTTATCTTGAACTCCTTTCTACTTCAGAATATTATATTTCTGCTAAGAATAAGAAGCACCTAACTACGTTTATAGCGAGTTGTATGAAGTAATTTATTAGAGCATCGAATATCACTTGTATTCCAATGGCCTCCTCCAGCCTCAGGTTAAAAAACAGACAAGCCAACCCACCTCCCTGACGTGCCCCAAGGCCTGTAAATAATTAACCGGAAATCCCTTTAAACATCCCTACGAAGGAGGGATTATTCTGTATTTTTATCTTCGGGAGGCACACTAGCTTAAGAGGAAAATTCATTTCAATCATAGCATTATATATTTCTGAGCAATTTACGGAGTCACTTATTTACAATTTACAAATTTGCGTTGTTTAACCTAAATGATTTTAGTGAATCTGTAGATCCTCGAAAAACCCGATACACATTTGATTCTCTTCTCGCACGTCTCTACACAACAATATTCTCAATAAATGTCGGCAGTAAAATTTAGTTTATTGTATATGATGTACATTTTACAAAAACTTTAAATTACTGTATTTTTATTATTTTTTTTTAGTTTTGATAACACCGAAAAATACTATATTTTTTACAATATATATATTGTACAATTTGTTCTGCGCCACCCAACTCTCTTTACTTGGAGCATAGTTGCCGTCCTTAGATTCACCCTTCCGAGCCGCGTGGAAAATATAATAGCATGCTCATTAATTTACTGTTTCGATTTTCTGAATAAAATATGAATTCACCTTTTTACTCACTGGTGTGTTGTTATTGGTATTTCTCTTATAATACCCAGTACAGTGGTCCGAGCGGGTAATTATCAAATAATTTCACTGGCATGAGGATTGTACATAAATAAAAGAATATATTTTTATTCCTAAAAAGACATAATAATACAATATAATAATCGGCTTATTCGTATTCAAGTATTGCTAATGACATTGCAGCCATGCAATGGGCATATCATAGATTTTTAACTTTAAATCTCCTTCGGGATGAGCCTGTATAGTTCATTTTTAATAGAATTGAAAACCAAATAAACAAAGGAACGAGAAGGTCCGATTTATATAATAAGATAATTGATTTTTAGAAATGTGTATTTACATTATATATATGTACCGGTCATGACAACGTAAGGCTTTAATGCACCCAATGACCAGAATGGCTACCATAACTCCAGGAATGAGCTACAGCTGGTACTCCAAGGGCAGCTCCTCCATAGATGGGTGCACCGAGATGGGCTCCTCCATAGACAGGGGCGGTGAGGTGAGCTCCTCCGTAGACTGGGGAAGCAAGATGAGCTCCTCCATTGACTGGGGCGGTAAGGTAAGCTCCTCCATTGACGGGGGCAGTAAGGTAAGCTCCTCCATTGACGGGGGCGGCAAGGTGAGCACCTCCATTTACTGGGCCTGAAAGGGCGGCTCCACCATTGACTGGACCTGAAAGGGCAGCTCCACCATTGACTGGACCAGTAAGATGAGCTCCACCATTGACTGGGCCAGTAAGATGAGCTCCACCATTGACTGGGCCAGTAAGATGAGCTCCTCCATTGACGGGGCCAGCAAGATGAGCTCCTCCATTGACGGGACCTGTTATAGCTGCTCCACCATTGACGGGACCGGTAAGATGAGCTCCACCATTGACAGGTCCGACCAAGTGAGCACCACCATTAACGGGACCAGCGATGGCAGCACCTCCGTCCACGGGGCCAGCGATAGTGGCACCGTGGGACACAGCTCCTGGGATGACAGCGCCATGAGAGACAGCTCCTGGGATGACAGCTCCATGAGATACGGCTCCTGGCACTACGACTCCGTGGGATACGGCTCCTGGTACCACAACTCCATGAGTAGCTGCTCCGGGGATGACTGCACCATGCGACCAGCTTCGCTTGAACCTCTGTTCTGAAGCACTAGCTAATCCAAGGGCGAGTAAGCAAACCTGTGACACAAAAATTTCCCGAAATTATACTTTTTTTTCATTTTGACACTAATGTATTAAATATTTTTTTCTGTATTGCACTGATAGGAAATTCAAATCATCAACTTACAACTAAAGTCTTCATGGTGCTAGCTTCTTGTCAGGCCAACTGTGAAGCTGAGTCCTTCTCCTCTGGCTTTTATACATTTCAAAGGCCTTGGCACCTGGAAGTGATCGTGGCATTAAACTCTATTATAGTTGCCTTCATTTTCAATAAAGAGTACTTTCACCCTCCTTATTTTTTCTTCTATCTTTAATTTAACAAAACTGCGTACTGTTAATATTTCAATATGAATAACATTTTACAGTCACTCAATTATTCAGGAGGAAAGGATGGTTCTAAAATAAGAACAAATGCTATATATGTTCGGCTTACCTCCTAATCCTTTTGAGTCCATATAAATGAATTTTGCCTAAGAAATAAAATATTATATTTGTATTGTAAATAAAGTTAATACCTTAACTACTTACTTGACATTAATATTTTAGTGTGACTTGGGTTAGTTAATTATTTTTCCCATTCATTTTTTTTCAATAAATAAGCTTTTAGAAGTAAGCCTTCGATTTGTAATTATAAAATACATTTTATCGTTGACGAAATATTTTATTACTTCACAATAGTGTTGAAATAGAAATTGATTTTACCATTGTATCCTTTAAATATTACATACTACAAAGACGAATATATTCAATTATTTAATACCACTATAATATATTTATTTGTATTTTTGATATTTTTGCCATCGTAAAAGTGTTTTTTTTTTTTTTTGTCTGGAACCATTTAATCGAGTAACATTCTGTCACAATAAAGATAACAGTTATAATGAGATAAGAGTCAATTCACAGTGTTTATAAGTATTTTGATATACTCATAAGTAATTTTATTTATTTATACATGTCCATTCAACACAACATTTGAATTAAAGCAAAAATGGAATAGAAAATGAAATTCAAAAATAACCTTCAAAGAAAGGAGAAAAAACAAAGAAAATAAAAAATATAAATACATTGTTGTTTTGAAACAGATATCTGGAAAAAAACAGTTATATTTTCATCAGTTATTTGTAACATTGAGATAGTAAAATACATTTTTCGGACCGTCAATCATAATAAGAATGTATTATACAGCAAAAAAATAATCTTATCGGCTTATGCATTCACAGGAAATTAATTTTCATACGATTCAGACCATACATTATCTGTAACTTAAGCAAAATCAAATTATAAAAATTGCAGTATCTTTATTACAAATATTTTTGAGAAATGAAATCTTATTGGTGTTTATATCTCTGGTGATGTTCTATTTTCTTTGTACGTTGTTCAGAAGATTAATAAATGCTAATGCCGTGATACATACCGTTAGAATGGTTTGCTTCGCTCCGGTTTTTGGACTTCGGACAATCTATATTTTGACTCTCTTGAAGGAGTGAGGAAAGTCTGTATTTTATAATTCAGTAACCTTAGACTACTAATGACAGAAAAAGCTTCTTTGTTATTGACTGTTTAATTTTTTTTTTTTTTTTTTTTTTTAGTGGAACAATGATTACGGATCGTTAGGGAGAAATCGCAAAACTTTTAAAAACTTATTTCTCATCTAAATTGTGGGAATCAAAACGAACGAATCGCTGAAAACATAAGACTTTTGTTGTGTTAAGGATGTGTTATTTTAATATTGCCCATTAGCACCATGTAAGGATTCATTTGCTTGAGCAATGTATGTATAATTTCTAGGGTCAAGTTTCCTGTAGTCTCTTTTTTAGAAATAATGATAAAGGAATGGAATGATAACTTAAATTGATATTTTGAACCACAGACAACTTAATGGACGACTTAAAATTACCTTTATAATGCTGGTAGAGGAAAACCAGCAATATGTATGAGGTGCATAGCCTAACGAACAATAACACGTTACATTCATTTTCCTCCATAGGTTTATTTTATAAACTGGACCTACTTCGTCGTTCGTCTGATGTTAGTAATATAACCAATTTTCTGTAAGTAATGTTCCTACTGTCTAATATACGATGACCAGGCGTCCCACTTTTGGTAGGACCGTCCCGATTTTTAACAATTTGTTCCGCGTCCCGCGTGTTTTAAAAAATTCTCGATTTTGGGAATGAATGCACGAGAAGGTAGGGACGGGAAGAGAATATATATGCTTTTCAATGGTCATATGGCTTCTTCGGTAGAATATGAATTCTATATTATTTTTGTTAGTTTTATTATGTTAAACATTAATAATACCGAATAAACGTTGAGAGCTGCTCATCAAATTTAGCATTGTTGATCAGTTGTTAGAATTGAACCATTATTATGTGGACTTAATAAACAACCCGAAAATGATCTTTTTAATGAAGTGTCGTCATTTAAAAAATATGTTGGTGTGAAAAAGATTAAATCTTTGGCATCGGCAAATTAATGAAGTTATAAACTTCTCCAATTACGGAAATTTTGTCGCATTCAATAAGTTTCGTGCCATTTTAAAAAAGCATTTGCTTCATTATGTATAAACTGGCATCGAAGTCTGGTACAAAACATCGAAGTCTTAAAACCTGTGTTATGATTTATGCCATAAATCTGACGTTAAATACATAATCAAATCATTCGATTTCAAAATTACTTCTTTAGAAAAAAAAATCTTATCCTAAATTCAAATGAATACAATGTCACCTGATTATTTATTGTATTATGTTATATTGTATTATGATAATTAATGATTAATTATTGTAAAAAAAAATTGTAACTCCCTCCTCACTCCCTCCCCCTCCCCCCCCCTTCCACGCCTCTAGTCAATGGTGTCTATACCAATGTTCAAATCTGGTCACCTTAGTGTAATATTATTTTAGTGTTTCGAGATATCAACAATAATTAATGAATAAAATATCATGAAACACAAAAGTTGAATATTTTGGTCTTCTTTCGTTCGTTTCTTGAGCTTATTTATTTAGCTGTTTTATTATCCTTCTGTAAGACCGCGGTTTTCTAATCTCTTCGTTCGTCTTTTTAATCTTCCCTTGAATTAAGACCTTTATTGACAAACACTTAATTTACTTATTATTTGATAAGGAAATTAGGCTTATGAGCTCTGTACATTTCCTAGTCACAATTTTGTTTTTTTTTAAACGTATTTATTGGACATTTATAATAGTGTTCACAGATCACACTCAAACTCTATGTACAATAAATAAAATAAATTATACAGAAAAATAATATATATACAATAAATAAGAATAAAATAAATAAATAAAAAGAAAACATGAATACCTATATACAATATTTACAATCTGGCGAGAGAACTCCAAACCAGACTTGTCCCTCCAAGCAAGTCACAAATTATACATTTTTTTTTTTTAAACAGTTGACAGAAATAATGATGGACGACACCTGGTGCACTGCCACAGATTTCTTGCACTGCCTTTCTACTTGTATTAGGCAGACTATGATATCGTTCATAATTCCAATAATAGTTATTTCTACATCGTAAAATAATAAATCGAGAAAATTTTATATTTATAATAAGAAACAGATAATCCCTCTCCTCAATTCTATAGTAAATTTTTAGTTTGGCTGTGCGTGAGTTTTCCATTGATCAAGATACACTTTTGTAGAGAGGGTGTATAAATATTTAAGACGAATAAAAAATGATCAACACTACGTTGTGGGAGTTATAAAGTTTCTAATATTTAAGATAAATTAATAATACTAAAATCTATCCGGTGAAAGTATCGAATTCTAGTTTGGAACGTTTTGTGAACGCTTCCTAACAGACCAAGGCCTTAGAAGTGTATAAAACCGCGGAGGTTAGAGTTCACCTTTGCAGTCGCCCTTACAAACCGAAGTTAGCAACATGAAGACCTTAGTCGTAAGTACAGAATGAATATCTTATATCAGTGCAATGACGAAAAAACTTATAAGCCCAATAAAAAGTGAAATTCGAATATTCAATGAAATTACAACGAAAAAGTGTATTATTTATATATGTTTATGCCACAGGTTTGCATTCTTGCCCTTGGATTAGCTGGCGCTTCAGAACAGAGGATCAAGCGAAGTTGGTCTCATGGGGCTGCCATCCCAGGAGCAGCTACTCATGGAGTTGTAGTACCCGGAGCCGTATCCTATGGCGCTGTCATTCCAGGAGCTGTATCTCATGGCGCTGTCATCCCAGGAGCCGTTTCCTATGGTGCCACCATTGCTGGTCCCGTGGACGGAGGAGCTACCCTCGCTGGTCCCGTTAACGGAGGCGCTCATCTTACAGGACCCGTCAATGGTGGAGCAGCTATAAGTGGTCCCGTCAACGGAGGAGCTCATATTGTTGGCCCTGTCAATGGTGGAGCTCATCTTACCGGTCCAGTCAATGGTGGAGCTGCTCTCTCTGGTCCAGTCAATGGTGGAGCGCATCTTACCGGTCCAGTCAATGGTGGAGCTGCTCTCACTGGTCCAGTCAATGGAGGAGCTCACCTCACTGCCCCGTCAATGGAGGCGCTACCTCACCGCCCCTGTCAATGGAGGAGCTCACTCACTGCCCCGTCAATGGAGGCGCTTACCTCACCGCCCCTGTCAATGGAGGAGCTCACCTCACTGCCCCCGTCAATGGAGGCGCATACCTCACCGCCCCTGTCAATGGAGGAGCTCACCTCACTGCCCCCGTCAATGGAGGCGCATACCTCACCGCCCCTGTCAATGGAGGAGCTCACCTCACTGCCCCCGTCAATGGAGGAGCTCACCTCACCGCCCCCGTCAATGGAGGAGCTCACCTCACTGCCCCCGTCAATGGAGGAGCTCACCTCACTGTCCCCGTCAATGGAGGCGCTTACCTCACCGCCCCTGTCAATGGAGGAGCTCACCTCACTGCCCCCGTCAATGGAGGCGCATACCTCACCGCCCCTGTCAATGGAGGAGCTTACCTCACCGCCCCCGCTTATGGTGGAGCCTACCTAGGAGCCCCAGTGGTGGCCTCCCCGTTATTGGCTGCTCCCTCCCAAGCATACGGTGTCCTCTACGCCGGACATCACGGTCATTTGGTGCATTAACCCCTTACCTCTTTTGATGACTGATATATGTACAATGTAAATATATTTCTTAAACAAGTATTTGTTTTTTATTTCTTCAAATTAAATAACCAATCAGATTGGATTAAATATTTTGGATTTGTTCTGAATTATACTTTCAACAACAAAATCATAAGTCGTCGGTTAGTATATTTAGGTATAATATTGTTATTTAATATTAATTTAATTAATATTTACTAAATATAATTAATATTTAATTTAATTTAATTTAATGTTATTATCTGTTTAAATACTATATGAAAATGTGCTGTGTACATTACACAATCAATCATTATCGAACATAAATTGCGAACAATGCGCTACTTCTTGTTTTCTAAAAACTATAACGAACGTGGTCTTTAATTTTGAGTTCATTGGCCCACGAAAATTTAATCTAATAGAAAAAGCAATTTTTTTAAGTTTCACAACATCACGGTCCCAGAATAAGTTTGTCTTCAAGGGATGGTGCGTAATTAAACATAAACATATATATCGAAAACATCACTCAAATATTCTTGTTCAACTTTATAAAACCTACAAGAGTTCTTGTTCAATGTTACCGCCTGAAATAGTGGTTGATCTCATGGAAAATTTTCTAGTTTAACAACTTGGTTCGAATTATGATTGTCGTCAGAACCAATATGATAAGCATTGCTTAAAAATACTTTAATTTTTTTTAGGCATCTCAATCATTAATTCAATGCCTGAAATATGTACTGCAATACTATAAATTACCCATAGTCCAAAATTGGAGTTTTATTCTGAAATATTTTCTTTGTTCTCTAAATATTGAACAATAATTAATCATTTTATTGAGGTTTAATACATTTTACCACACTTAAGGGTACTGATTATAGAAGCTGTAAGGCACATTCATACCATTAAACATTTAACAAAGTTCTCTAACTGCCAATTGTTTTTAAAAATAGTGTCAAACTGCCAGTACCGTAGCTATGTTTGGCTTCACAAAAATTTAAGCGTTTGCATCTCTTACCCGTTTCATGAATACAATGTTAATCGAGTGTATCCATATGTTTCGTTTCGACGTGTATTAATCATTTCACAGGTTAATAGTTTGTAGCAGATTTAACCGAATTAATTCATAAAGTATAATTATAGGACGTATGAATGAATAAGAACTCAGCGAAATTTGAAGTGAATCTGTGTGGTTCGATAAAAGGAACCGTAAAATTTTCCTTCTTATTTCAATAGATTTTTCTTCAAATTTTGGACTTATTTTCATTTTGATTGTTGCTTTTCTATATTTCCATTATGTTTGTTGAAAAATTAATTTTTACATCCGTACTACGTTTATAATGTTAGGGATTTATGACCATTGGGTCTGAATTAAGAAAAAAATTTGTATGACTGTTACACTATTAAATTTACAATTATCCGGCGACTAGTCAACATCTCTGAGCAAATCGACTGTTGAAAACAAGCCGCTCCCCAATAAGTTCAGAAGAACGATTAATCTTTTTAACTGGAAATATTAAGCTATGCATTTTGAAAAACGCCCTTCGTTTTTGAATTTTTCAATTCTTCATCTCAAATACCCTCCTGTTTTGTTTAGTTTAAACGCTTCATCAACTTTCCAACCCTATATCTAACTTTGGATAACTTGCGTTGTTTTGAAACGATAATATGATTAGGAGATCGAAATACGTGATATTCATATAACAATCAATTATTCTGTGTTATAGATTATTTGTATTTGATTTACTATATTTTATGTAATGGTTGTCAGTGGTTTATTACTACAAACATTTTTAATGGTTTTCCATTGGTTATACAATCTAACTACCTTTCAATGATTGTAAAAGTGTGTATATCGGTAAAATTGGGGATAATTCCAAATTCATGATTGCTAGCAATATAGAAAAACAGGCTAATAACATGATCAAGATATAATGTTACTCATAAAACTATGGAAAATCACAATATCACCATCAATCATAAAAATAACCATATAACTATAAGTTTCGGTAGAAATTATAGATAGTAACATTTTTTTTATTCATGTATCGTGGCACTGTCGTGGCACTTCAGTATTACGTCAATGTTTGGTCGGATTGAGTAGTTGTCGAATTTTCGGATACATTTTATCAATCACAATACTGTTTTTTTTTTTATATAGTTACCTAATTTGTTTTAATCTGCCAACCTCAATACCTAATCAGGAACGGACTAGCTTCGATAAATACTGTACACTGTTGGAAAGATATTGAAATGAAACAACTTTTCTGAAATGGCCAGGGTCGGAAACGTAGTGCCTGAAATAATGAATATTTTTTTTAAATTGTTAATTTTTTCTTTTTAAATTTTCTTTGGATACTTTGATCGTCTGCCAAGAATTCAGATTATTTTTTGATGCCGAAAACGTTCATTTCCATTTCGTAAACTTGGATTTTTATAGCAACAAATAATACCCATAGAATAGTATCAGATCTCGACACCAATGTGAGACATAAAGGTGTCATTGGCGGTGTGAAACTATATTTCTATGAACTATCTCCACCCTCAGTTACTGACATTACTTCCTGGGATACGCTGTGTATATTGAATGTTGTTGAGAATACAGTTCGGTATAAATCATAAAATTTAATCAATATCACATTGGTCAGATGATGGAAGGATAATATACCTCAAACAAATATTTGCTTAAAAATTTTATTTACATTATAAAGGTATCAGTCATAAAATTAGATAAGCAGTTAATGCACCCAATGGCCATGTTGTCCGGCGTAGAGGCCACCGTAGGCCAGGGATGGAGCAGCCAACAACGGGGAGGCCACCACTGGGGCTCCTAGGAGGGCTCCTCCATAGGTGGGGGCGGTGAGGTGAGCTCCTCCGTTGACAGGGGCGGTGAGGTATGCGCCTCCGTTGACGGGGCGGAGTGAGCTCCCGTGACAGGGGCGGTGAGGTATGCGCCTCCGTTGACGGGGGCGGTGAGGTGAGCTCCTCCGTTGACAGGGGCGGTGAGGTATGCGCCTCCGTTGACGGGGCGGTGAGTGAGCCTCGTGACAGGGCGGAGGTATGCGCTCCGTGACGGGGCAGTGAGGTGAGCTCCTCGTAACGGGGCGGTGAGTAAGCTCCATGATGGACTGAGGGCGCTCCACCATTGACTGGACCGGTAAGATGAGCTCCTCCATTGACTGGACCGGTTAGATGTGCTCCTCCATTAACAGGACCGGTAAGATGTGCTCCTCCGTTAACGGGGCCAGTTATAGCTGCTCCACCATTGACGGGTCCGACCAAGTGAGCGCCACCGTTAACGGGGCCAGCGAGAGCAGCACCTCCGTTCACAGGGCCAGCGATGGAAGCACCGTGGGAAACGGCACCTGGTATGACAGCGCCATGGGACACAGCTCCTGGGATGACAGCGCCATGAGAGACAGCTCCTGGGATGACAGCACCATGGGACACGGCTCCTGGTACAACAACTCCATGGGATACGGCTCCGGGTACTACAACTCCATGAGTAGCTGCTCCTGGGACGACAGCTCCATGAGACCAACTTCGCTTGATCCTCTGTTCTGAAGCACTAGCTAATCCAAGGGCGAGAATGCAAACCTGTGGCGTGAAAATATCGAATTAATAAGTTTAAAATATATGTATCTCTTTTAGAACCGCTTTTATTATATGTTCATTATTGCAGAGACATATGATACATATTTTGAACTTACAACTAAGGTCTTCATGTTGCTGACTTCTGTCTGTAAGGGCGACTGCAACGCTAACTTCTTCCTGCAGAGCTTTTATACAATTCAAAGGCCTTGGTCTATAGGAAGCGTTCGTTCTCATAGTTTCAAACTAGGATTTGATACTTTCACTTTGTAGATTTTAGTTTTGTTCTCATATTGTAAACCGCATGTTCATTATTATTCATTTTAGTTAAATTATTTTTAAATATATATTATTTTATAAAAACATCATCTTAGATTAGCATTCGTTATTTTTCCCAATAGTGATACAGATAGAAAACAGATCAATATTCTATGGCTTCTCTCTCTTTATTTACTATTTATTACTATTGCCCTCCAATGCGGCAGGATGTATCAATTTTCAAATAATAATAAAAAAAATTAAAATGTATTACTATAACCTGATTTAGGACCGAAAACTCTGTTTACCAAGTAGGTTTAGAATAGAAAAATTAATTTTATTCTGGGACATTGTCCCTTAATAATAACAATATTGTTCATAAAATTAAACTTTAGATTTAACCAAATGATCTATTTCAATAAGGAATAACTAAAACATAAGTAATAAGACAAATATATACATAGCTATGAAGATATACTATATAAAAGAAAGCAGAAGAGCAATAGGGTTAAAATATAATTCAAAATAGCTGCTAAAAATAATAAAATAAATATAACTAAATTAAGTTAAAAAGGAACGTTAAATTATTTCTATAAGTAAACTATTATAATGATTAAAAAAAAGAGAAAAAATACAGTAAATAAATGATCTACATCTTTAAATTCAATACATAATTTTTACATAGTTTCAGTTATTTTATATCAAAAAGAAAAAAAAAATTCTCTAAGAAAATCAAGTATTATATTTTGTAATTATTTATTTAATGTATTTAAAAGTTTTAAACTGCCCTAAAAAGGAATCTAATTTCATTTTTTCATTCGATAAATTATTGGCAACTTCTGGAAGCCTTTGGTTTCTATAATTATTAGTTCTTTATAACTCATTTAATACAATAGTTAATTTTGTTTTCTTACTCTGTACAAAAAAATAAATATATTAATATATAGTAACTTAAAAATCGTGGTAAAACTAAGGAAAAAATAAATAACATATATTTTGTTTAAAATCATATAAAATATTTTTTCTTGGCTCCTAGGGCCCATTGAAAACGCCTGGATATGTGCCCAAAATTTTTAATATAACATCACCATTAAAATTTAGTTGAAAGCGGTGACCCATGGACTATATCCTCCCTCTGTAAGTCAAAATTATCGATTTTTTTGTTTTAAGCTTTTCTTGATTACAAAACTGTGTTGTTTCTACTGGCGTAATCCACGAAGACATATCTTTATTTATTTCATGTTCATAGTTTTGTAACTACATTAAGTACTACAGCCTGGTCAGTAATAATCTAGTACTCAAAATCATGGTTTTTGACTTATTTTGCTTCACTTGTAACCTTTATTGTAACTCGATATGTTTTTTTCTGTGGTTGCAGTTTTATTTTTTTATTTAACATTTTAGTTATGATTTGAGATAGGTTTTGTGGTATAAATTGCTCATAAATATATCAAAATTCTCAACATTTTTTATTGCAATAATTAAACTAATTTTTGAAGAAAAAAAAAACTTCGGTGTGAGCTTTAGAATACACGATAGAAGTAAAAACAGCAACAAGGCGAGATTAATAATATAAAAATATAAATTGTAAATAATAGCTCGTTATAAAGAGGATCAATTGCTGAACATTTCCCTGGCTTACACTATGCAGAACTGAATTTTAGCTTCTGAGATATTTTGATCCATAGGCTTTATATAATAAAATTCTTTAATTTGGGTATGCGTTTGTATTTCATTCCAGTATTTTTCAATTATTTTTATTACATTTTTACTGGTAAATACATTTTCTACATAAAAACATACCAAATAATATTTACCTATTGTTTATTTTATTTATTCTTTAAAGCATTTGATCCACATCCATTGAGTTTTTTTTAAATGTGGAATTGAGATATTTAATCAACTTTTTTCAGTTTCTCCATTGATATTACAAATGATAAAACTAAGTGGAGTACCAGTTTTAAGTAACTTAACTAATTCATATATTCTAGTTGTATTGTAATTATAATTCATTATTTTAATTTCGTTTAATAAGACATTTCAAAATTCTATTGTTTAAAATATAGACATCAAGGCAAGGGCAACCTAAAAATGTTCTTAATGATTTTTATTATATTATTTAAATTAGTGATATTTATTAGCTTATGTTTTATCCAACCAGGGGTGGCCATACCCCCTAACGTCAATGGCACATGATGACCTCCCGTTCTTCCAAAATATTTGATCGCTCTCATCTTCTTAAAACAGTGCAAGTTAAGGTATAATTTTAAAAATCATAGGTTATATAAATCACACTTTCATTGGTCTATGCTTTCCTCCTGTCTACTGGTTTGAAACTTATCACTTCGAAAATTCATCACCTTTTCGAAATGTGCCCCCCTCTAAAATTAAAATTATCGTCAAAATATGCCTCCCTTTAAACTTTCGATGCCTCAACGACTGTATATCTCCATTTGGAAGGTTATATAATGTTATTTTATTATATATTTTCCATTATGCCTAAGAATTTCTGATGTTGTCATTTATATTATTTCTCTTCGTATTTTTTATATATTGTTCATAATGTTAAAATAAATTTTGAATGTTGTAATAATATCAGCATTTGTACTATAAGTTAGCACAGACTCGTTATCATTTGGTTTTGGACACTATATTTTTCCCTCTTCTACTCTCTAACGCAGTGTTGGGCTAAGATGCAATTTTTAATAATAGCTCATTACAAAGAAGACAAAGTGCTGAAGTATGCAGGTAATCTCTTACAGTATGCAGGTCCGATTTTTTAGTATATGAAATATTTTAATCCATATATTCAACTAACCTCGTTATCACTTGGTTTTCGACACCATTTTTTACTTTTCGCCCCTCTAGCACAGCGTCGCGTTAAGATACAATTTTGAATTATAGCTTATTATACAGATGATTAAATGCTGAACATATTTCCTTGAATAAAGTATGCAGGCCCGATTTTGTGTTTCTGAGATACTTTAAACCAGATGTAAAAACATTTCAATTAGTCGACTACAGCTGATTTTACCCGAGCGTTAAAATCTGACGGATGAATCTAATTTGCTCTCCACAAACAAGTGCAAAAAGCGATTAAACGCGTTTTAACTTAAAAAAAAGTAATCATATTTTTTCCTTAATGTGATTTATATGATTTTGAAAAAAAAATATACTACTGATAGAGGGATACAGATTGAAATAAGTGTGTTCTTCATTAATTAATACCTACGTGATTATGAATATCCATACTTTAACATAAATTTAGCCCAATAATTTTACATGTCATTTAAGACGAGAAGATTGCGGACATGATGTCACCGATTTCAATGAAACTTCTTTTGGTGATTCCACGTCGAAAAATGTTAGTTCTATGTCCGAGGTAAGTTTAACTCCTCTACGTATATTATGTTCCCTTATATCAGTGGTCGGTAAACTTATTAGCCAAAGAGCTGATTTAACATATGAACATTACAACAATTTAAAAAAAATTGGGAGCCAAACCTGCTTGTTTAGTTAGTAACTGTAGTTACTTTTATTAAACTAAATTTTGCTACACTAAATTTCATACTTAATATTTAATAATGCGAGCAATGTGCTTGCATCTCCTTGGAAAGTTTGAGTAAGTCAGGTTTGAATGTTTTTAATTTTAGGCATGATTCCAAGTTCTCATCAATAAGACGACTTCTCAGTTTACTCTTAATAATGTTCCTGCTTAAAAAAGATTGTTCGCATATATATATATATATATATATATATATATATATATATATATATATATATTATATATATATATATATATATATATATATATATATATATATATAGAACCGAAAAGGGAAAGAACAGCAAACAGGAGTTTTTTCAGCTGATCGCAAGAGCCACGAATACTATTCAAAGCGTTAAAAATGATCATGCCTTCCTTCTGCAGGTCATTCAATGCAGACCACTTGTGTTGTGAACTAAGATCACATTTTTTTCTTCTCCAATATTTCCAATTCATCACAAAGAAGTTCGAATTTAGAGTGCCATATCTCCTTGTTTTTTAAATCCAGCAATTGTATTTCAAAGCTACAAATGTCAATTTCAAAAGGAGAAAATTTCAACTCAGTTATCGTAGGATTAAGAGGATTTTTGACAAATGCTATATTTTGTCTGCTAAAGTGGATATTTTTGCCAGAGCCGCACTTAACAAGGCAGGCTTTAAGTTCCATCACTTGATTGTAAATAGTGTATATAGGTTTTGTATATATGTATGTGCGTATGTATGTTTGTGCTTTTATATGTATGTTTGTGATGGTTTTTTGAAGTTGAAACGTCTTTAGAGGCATTTTGTAAGGTTTTATGGGAGAGTGAATTATATTGAGCCGTCAGATTCCAATGTGTGACGCTCGGGTCAAGTCTATTAGGATCGATTTAAGCGTTTTTGCATATGAAAGTATCTCAGAAACTAAAAATCGGACCTGCATACTGTAAGTGAGACAAATGTTCATCATTTCATCATATTTGTAATGGGCTATTATGCGAAGCTATGTTAGAAAGGCGAAAAGAAAAAAATAGTGTCCAAAACCAAATGATGAGCTATTATTTATATTATATATCATATTATTAATCTCACCTCGATGTTTTCACTTCTTTCGTGTGGTCCAAAGCAAACGTATAAATATTTTTTTTTTGCACTTTGCAGGTTCGAATCTGGCTGGTGTCAATTTATTTTTCATCAGCCGTTGATCAACAACACGACCTCCACACCCAGCCTCTATAAAGTGGGTACTCTTCATTGCAAAATCCTTTAAGAAAATCATGTATTATATTTTGTAGTTATTTATTTCATGTATTTAAAAGTTTTAAAGGGACCTAAAAAGGAATCTAATTTGATTTTTTCATTACATAATTTTTA